GACAAAATAGATAGAAGCTGAGAAATTGGACGATAATTAGCTACAGAAGCCCTATCTCCTGATTTAAAAATGGGAGTAATTCTATGGACACGCCATTCATCAGGTAGAACTGCCTTCTCAATGCACCTGGAAAACAGATGAAACACAGGACCAGAGAGAGGAAGGGCACATTTGGCAAGTACTTTAGGACTAATATGGTCAATGCCCATAGCCTTAGTTTGATCTAAAGTAGAAAGAGCCTTGTAAACATCTGACTCTGTAATCTTGATATCACACAACAATGGACCAGTAACATGACACTCAGTAGGGTAAGTAAGTGGAACAGGGTCAGAGCATAGATAATAGAGTAAATGAAAGGGATTGGCAACGGGGCGTAGCAACAGGAAATGCGGGTTGGGTTACCACGTGACAACCATCAGTGTTTTGATTGATTTCCCATCTCCTCCATTGGTGAAGTTGCTCTAGCAGGATTTCGAAGGAAATTTGTGCTGTTCCAGGATAGCGCTTGCTTTTGATATATAGCCTATTCCACATAGAATTTTTAGAGCTACCTGTAGCAAGGTTTTTATCTCCAAAAAGTCATTTTGCAACCAGTTAGAGGTACACAAAGTCGCCTGTTTTTGAAACACTTTATCGTTCGTAAAACACTCAAGCTTCAGTGTATCAATATGCAAGTTAGCTCATTCCATAGGAGATTTCAAGCTCTTTAAGATGGTTATACTTATTCTTAGCTCAAGAACGAAATGAGTCTCTCAGAGGGGGAAAAGATGGTATTTATAGTTAAAGAGTGACGCGGCTACTAACGCATGCATTGATTTACTGAACAAAAAATATTAATAAAAAGCATAAACATTGGTTAGTATTGTGTGTGAGTTTTGTTTGCATGAATTGTATTCTCTTGGAGTTATTCAAGAATAAAGCAAGAAAATCCCAGTTTTTTACTCCAAAATCGGTCAAAAAATCCCAACCCTCCTCTGTTTACTTAGCAACAATACAAAATT